GGCAATCTAACAAGTGCTACTAAGCGTTAAAGGATGTGCTCACTGAATGAGAAAAACCAAGGACAAAGAGCAGCAGAGTTTCTCTCCTGAAGGGCTCAAGCCATGACTGTCCCTGTAAGTTAATGGGAGAGTAAATGAAGGCAGTTGGAGAGAAAGAAGTGTAAACCTGAGCATTGAATCAGTTTCTCGAGAGAGAAGAATATGTTATTAAGATGGAATTACTTCCTATTGTCTTGAAAGAACACTTTGGGTGGATTTTCTCAATGTGGGGATGCATAGAAAACTTGCAAGAGAAGGCGTTATAACCTCGATTACATGAGAACTGAACAACGTCTACTTGAGAAGAGAGGAGGAACCATGAATGAACCAGTGAAGGTCAGCATGGGGGAGAGTGAAGAACGAAGATGGCAAGAGAAGATGCTCTGCCAGTCTTGGGTCTGGCATGGACCCTGCCTCCCAGGGGTTCTGAAAATTAATGTAGATTTTCTAAGCATAGACCTGTTGTTCAGCCAGTCCTATAACCTTCAAATTTCATTCTATTCATTTTAAGAGAAATATGTTATGACTCATCACATGCACACACATATACATATGCACACATATACACATGTACACATACATATACATACACACATAGACACACATGTAAACACATTCACACTTATACATGTCTACATACGTATACACATATGCATACATGCATATATACATAAACACCCATACACATGCACACATATACATCCATACAAACATACACATACACTCACACATATGTGCAGATACAAACACACATGCATACATACACATATACACACATACACTTACACACATATACATACTCACACACACATAATCACACACATACATTCACACTACATACAAATATACATGCACACATATACACACATGCACAAGTCCACTAAAGAATCCTCATCATCACTATGGACAACTCATGCAGATGGCCCTCATATACTTCATTTCTTTAATTCTGGTCACAATGCATTAAACTGTTTTCAGTCATACGAAGTTTAGAAATAATAAAGAAAGAAATAAAAGAAAAAAACAAAACACTGTACATAACTGTCATATAGGAACGTAATGAATTAGAAAAGGAGCTTTTATATTTGCTTTTTATTTTTTGTGTGTATTATTCATGGTACTGAATTATGGGACTTTTTCATACAAGTATGTATATACAGTATGTTGAACATATTTCTCACCATAACCCCCTACTAAGCCCTTCCATCTCCTCTCCAGTCCTTCCCCAGGGTCACTGAGGTATTTTACAGACTTTTCAGGGTACCTCCAGTCCAAGATCAAAGAGGCTAGTTTGCCATTGGAAAGTTATTTTTCTAACCAAATGACACCTATTCACTGTAATTAGTGAAGTTTCTGCCCTCAAAACTGGGCCAAGTGTGGCCGGGAGTTGGTGGCACAAACCTTTAATCCCAGCACTCGGGAGGCAGAGGCAGGTGGATCTCTGTGAGTTCGAGGTCAGCCTGGTCTCCAGAGTGAGTGTCAGGATAGGCTCCAAAGCTACACAGAGAAACCCTGTCTCGAAAAAACAAAACAAACAAACAACAACAACAAAAAAAAAAAAAAACTGGGCCAAGTGTGATCTTGGTGTTCAGCCTCAGGAAGGAGTTAGGCAGAAGGAAGTAGCCAAATAAGGGAACAGAACTTGGTGGCTAGCTTTAAGAATGTAATCTAGCAGTTTAGCAAGGAAGAAGGAAGCAGGGAGGGTAAGACCTGCCAGTGCCGTGTTTGTAATGTTTGGGCCTTCAGGAGTGCCCTTCACAGACTTTATTCAGATATATGGGATCTGCAGAAACATTTGAATGTTTTTTGGGGGTGAAAATGATGCAATTTTTCTTAAGAGAAAAATACAATTGTGTGTCTACAACACATGGATCCAAAAGGCATGAAGAGGTTGGAACTGAAAAAGCTTAACAAAAGAATGGATGATCTAGCATTAAATGGCAGCAACAGGCTTAACATGATCTACAACACGTGTGGAAAAAGGGCTATACAGTTAAATCTTAATCTTCAGTTCACATGTGTGACAGTTTTAATTGTCAATGTATCCCATTCTAGAATCCCCTGAGGTGTGAATCTCAGTAAGGGATGCTCTAGGTTGAACTCCAGGTATGACTGTGGGGATGAAGATCGTTACATCAATTAAAGTGGGAAGACACACTCACTGCAGGTGGCACTCTCCCCTGGATTTGGGTCCTGAACTGTATGAAAAAGGAAAAGGGGGCCTTATTCAAGCATCCATGCATATGTCCATTTCTGTCTGCTCTGACTGTAGGTGTGATGTGACCAGTTGCTTCTAGTTTCTGCCATCTTGACATCCCTGCAATGATGGACTCTGACCCAGAGTTGTGACCTAAAATAGACCCTTTGTGCCCTAAGTCATTATGGTCAAAACGTTTTGTCACAGCAGCAGGAAAGAAAATGAAGATGGATGGATGATAGCTTGGTTCTTAATTCACCTGCCCTGCCAATCCCTAAAACTGAAGGTTTCCATAATTTGGCAGAGGTGGAAGCATGGAGTATGGCATGGTGGGTTCCTGACCTGTGTGTCTGTCCATCTGTGATTTGCAATTTGGGCTGGTGAGCTTTCTTCAGGGACTCCTCCATAGAGGCTGTGAGCACTGTTATTGGAGTCCACAGGGTTATCGAGGGCCTCGGCCATCTTTAACTTCTCATCAAGGAAAGACACACAGTAATTACTGGGCTTGAGCATCAGTCCTGGGCCTGTGTTAGCCGTTTCCAGAGAGACTTTCCCCAGACTTTGCTGGAGTCTGTGATGAGGAAACAACTTTCTTTCTTTTGGGTCAAAGATCCCAAAAGTCTCTGCACTCAATTGTAGCCCCAGCTTCAGGCAAGTATCTAAACTGTCTGCTTTGCTCATAAACCATGTCCTGGTCTATACTCTCACAGGGGACAGAGCTCTGAGAACCCCAGCTTCATGTGGGAGTCTCAGTTCCCACCCTTCCATAGCTCTTCATGTAGGCCTTGGTGCTTCTTGCCTTGAACAACTCAAATGCTGTAATTCAAATCCCATGAGGCCAGAACTAGAAATCTCTCCCCTCCTCTCAGGACAGCCTCCTCCATTGGGAACTTGGCTCTGATTTTCACACTGTTCTTGTGTATTTGACTCTGAAGAATCTCTTACTGTCTTGTAAACTCAGATGGAATAATATTTGTTATGTTTTACCGAGAATTTATAATTTATTCTTTCACTAGCTCTCTCTTGCTCTCTCTCTCTCTCTCTCAGGTTTTTCTGTGTATCCCTGGCTGTCCTGAAACTCACTCTGTAGATCAGGCTAGCCTCAAACTCAAGAGATCCACCTGCTTCTGCCTCCCAAGTGCTGGGATTAAAGGCTTTCTGGTATACCTAGGTTGCCAAGAGCTAGCTCATCATCACCTTTCCCTGAAAGAATAGTAAATGACTGCCCATGGGTGAAATGTTCCTGTCCATATTTAAAGAAGAGAGAGGAAGAAGGGTCTTTGGCTTTTTACAAATTTATAGACTCCTCTACCCCAATCATCTCATTAGTTTTGAAGGCCATTCTTTCAGTCATTCAGTCAATTCTTCTTTCATTCACATCTCATTCAGTAAAGATTTAGTACATTGTTTAGTATTTGGAATTTCATTTAATCATTGAATACATAAATTTAACCTGAGTTCAGATCTGCAGAACCCACATCATAGCCAGGTATGGTGATGCATATCTGTAACCTCATCACTGGATCTGGGAGGCTCAGTAGTCATTGATCTAGACCTACTTTGAGCTCCAGGTTCACTGAGAGACCCTGATTAAAAAACAGGGTGAAGAGTAGTAGAGTAGACACCCAATGCTAACCTCTGGCCTCTGTACACAGATGCATAAGTTCACACACATGGAGATACATACATCACACACACACACACACACACACACACACACACACACACACACACACGTCATAAAAATAAGAATAAATAATGCATATACAGTGCAGTATATGCCATACACTGGAGAAATGCTTGGGCTCAGCAGAAATACACTAAATCCTTATCTTCATGAAGAACAAAACTATCGTAACTCTGCTGTTGTGTGATAGGTGCTGTAAAGTGAATGTTTGTGTTATTATGAGATGTAATGGGAATTTTTCCCTGCTCTGACGAGAGGCCTCATTTGGGAAGGAGTGGGTGGCTTGCACTGATTGAAGAGGGGTGCACTACTTGTTTCAGTATGGAGCATTATGAGCAAGACCTAGGTAGGGATCATGAAGAACCAAAGAACAAAGAGACAGAAAACAAAATGAAAATGTGAGGTTCTAGAAAAGGCCAACCAGATCAAACCCTGAGAGCACCTGTCCTCTATGTTGAGGAGTTTTGAGTCTATTGTGGGAACTGTTGAAAGGCATTAAACACCTGTTTGACACTTAGATTTGTCCTTTGAGAAGTCTTTTCAGCTTTGGGGATTCCAGACTTAAGGAGACAAAAGAGGACAAGACCAGGAGGGTTTGCTGGTATTATCTAGGGACAGACAGACAAGTTTTACCATAATTACTGGGATAATGACACCAGCCAGGGCCAAGTTTGGGGGAAAGGCCTCTTTCTTTGAGAGCATATTGTACTTGTGGTGTGCTTGAAATATCTATGAGGAAAGTGTGAAGAGGGGTCGGACACCTGGTCTAGAACTCAGAGATGAGGTCAAGGGATGTAAGCATGTGAGTAGTATGTTACAGGTAGTCACTTAAAAGATACATTTCTGAGGGACTGACTGCAGACGGTCCCTGATACATAGACGTGGAGGCTGTTGATGACCTTAGTAGACCTTGCTGGTGGGTGAGAGGGGTGAGAAGCTTGGAGAGAGAAGTAGAGACAGTAAGAGACAAAGAAATGAAATCAGCAAGTGTAGACAGCTCTTTGAAGAAGAGCTATTGGTGTTGCATTTTGGGCTCTAGGCCCTGGTTGTTGAACATATTAGACAAGTGGGTTCACCATGAAGCTACAACCAGACCAAGGTATATTAGTTTTTAAAAGAAATAGATTGCTTAATTATTATTGGATCACGGAATATTTTTAAAGGGAGTCAGTGTGAAGTACTACAACATCTTATTGATGATGAAAAGGTGACTAAAAGGTGATGATGAAAAGGCTGACAGAGGGACTCAGAGACACTGAGACAGAGCTGGGAGTAGAATTTGGTGGTGGAAAACTGGCCTGGTGTGTATAAAGCCCGAGATCTCTACACCTGCCCACCCACCAAAAGACACCAGGTAAATACTGAATTATAGTAACGGCTGACGTGTGAGCTCTTGCCACTGTGCAGGTACTGTGATAATGTTTAACATTTATAAGTTAACAAATGTAAATCCACAATAGCTCTATGAGACGGACACATAATAGACATCAGAGACATTGATATAATTTGCTAGAACTCGAGGGCAGAAGTGACAATCCAGGCAGTCTTCTTGTTTTGGATTATTTTATTTCCAATTTTATTTTCAAACACCAATTACATAAATATTATCTACTTGTGGAGTATAAAAGAGATGTGTTGTATGTTTATATTATATAGTGATTAAAACTTATCGATTGATCTTTCATTTTGTGTACTTGTAAGTTTTGTCAGGTGAAAACATTTGAAATCCACACTTTTAGCAGCTTTCAAATACTTTTTTTCCAACATTGGCTATACTGCTTGCAGATGGGCAATAGAGTATTTGTCTCCCTTGCAAGCCTACCTCCATCTTCAAATAATATTGGTTACACGATCGCTTTGTGGCAAAGGTATAAAAAAATCCATACTGGCTCCACTCCTTTTGTTAGAGTTTCCCCTTGGTTTTGTATTGTGGATCATGAGAGGCATAAATAGAAGTGTCATCAGTGGATGGCTAGCTTTCCTCGGTGGCCTTTAATAAATATGTGTGCATTATTCATGTAATTGCACCTGTAACTGCGGTGGGCTGGCTGTGAGAGTATAATAAGTAAGCAGGGATCACATATCTAAAGCCACCTTCCTCCCTGGCAAGATGCAGCATGTGTGAGTTTCATTAACAGGAGTCCTAAAATAAGTGACCTTTTCTAGTCCCTGGGGACTGGCCCTAACTACAATGTGTGGTTTTTCTCCTCCAAAGGATTTAACAATACTGAGAGAACATGTGACAAGGAGTTTATCATACGGAGAACAGCCACCAATCGAGTCCTGAATGTCCTCCGTCACTGGGTCTCCAAGCATGCACAGGTAATTCGGATGTTCCAGGGACTACTTTCAAGAATGTTATGTTTAAGTCAACTTTGCAAGTCATTGCACATGTAAAGTATCTGCTGGCACATGGTGGTTAGAAGCCTTTGGATTTAGAAGTTAAGAAGGAGAAGTGTAAGGAAAAAGCACTTGTGTTTCCAACATTGCTATTTCACACCTGAAGATAAACCGAGGTATACTGTAAAGTGGGGCTCCCCTCTTCCCTATCTTCAAGGCAGTGCCACCTCCCACGCCACAGCCATGGTCACAACTGTACTAGAGTACCTAGGGGTTACATTTACCAGGGTCCCCCCTTGAGCTGTAATGCAGAAGCCTCCATCTTCAGTGGCACCCAGAGCTGTGGAGGCAAACACCACAGAACCTTGTAAAGGCCAAAAATAAATTTTATCTGATAAGGGAGGGCTTTTTTAGACCAATTCACAAAATTCACCAAATTACCTCATGTCTTCTTATGTTTTGGTTCCTAGTACTCTGTTTTTTAAGTTGAAGGAAATCTCACAGTTTTCTATTGAAAAAAATGTGTAGAATTTATTCCCCTTTCGCACAATAAAGCCAGGTCCCTCTTTACCTTGTTGGTTCTAATTTGCACTTTTCCTGACTCCATGCCAGGCTTTCCTGGACCTGATGTCGGCTAGTAGTCTATAAGGAATGTTGGATAGAAAGACAAGGGCCCTGATTGGCTCAGATCAAAGATGTGACAAAGCTTGAAGACCATTTTGCATTAAGCACAAAGTACAACCATGGACATTTGTGATTCAGACTCTTGCTGCTAAGGATGGGAGAGATGCTCTTTTCATCTCACTGCAGTTAGCCATGAAGCACACTTTGCAGACATGCTTGCCCTAGTTCTGTGGTGCTGGGCACATGGCAGACATCTGCTTGTTTGTTGTTGAACTGAGTTTACATTTCAGTGTTGCCACTGTTCACTTTCTCCATGAGGTCATTTTCTGACATTTAGTTTCCAAAGGGAGTCAAAACATGGGCTGTGTCCTCCAATGGACCCACAAGCTGGACTCTACACTACAATGTGTGTGTTGACATTGCTGTGGAAAGGTAGTGTTTTCATGAAGCCTACACACACACACATGCTCAAGCATACACACACACACACACACACACACACACACACCTACTGCAAAGCCTTCTGTATCATTTATACAATTTCCAGGTCTCTGAAGGCATCAGAGCTGGGCTACTCTTGTTCCTGTGGTAACTGTGATCTTCTGATAGACTTCCAGGCTGACAATTCAACCAAGACCTCACTCACAAGGCTGTCACAGACTTAATATATTTCAGGACAATTCTGTTTTGACAATTCTGAGTTGTCTATTGATCGGTCATTCTGAAGAGACTCTGTCCACTTGAGAAATGTCACACACATGGAATGATGTTGAAATGGAGCTGTGGCTATGGCTCATCATGGGCCCAGGCAATTCGTCTAAAAGCTTGAGATCAGACACCTCCTTTCCCCAAAGAATTTATGCACTGAGCATCAGTTCTATTCTTTTTCTGTTTTCTCAATTTATCTGTTAAGAGCTGTGCTGTGCTGTGCTGTGCTGTGCTGTGCTGTGCTGTGCTGTGCTGTGCTGTGCTGTGCTGTGCTGTGCTGTGCTGTGCTGTGCTGTGCTGTGCTGTGCTGTGCTGTGCTGTGCTGTGCTGTGCTGTGCTGTGCTGTGCTGTGCTGTGCTGTGCTGTGCTGTGCTGTGCTGTGCTGTGCTGTGCTGTGCTGTGCTGTGCTGGGTGTGAGAGCGACTAAGATCCACGTGGTCTCTGTCCTCGAGGACTTTCCACTCATGGGAACAGGTAGCCACTCTCAGCCACTGTGCTTAGTGTAATTCCTGCACAACAGGCTCACCCTCTGGTAACTCTGAATGCCTTAGACATTTAGGCAGAGGACCAAAGCCTCAGGAGGTGAGGCAGAGAACACAAAGATTGCACACCCTTAAGGGGAGGTTCTAGGCCACCTAAGGAGGACAAGAGGGACCTCTTGAAAGCAACCCAGCGACAGTTGTGCTCAGTCAGCAGTGGGAAGTCAAGACAGGACAGTGGGAAGTCAAGACAACACAATGGGAAGTCAAGACAGGGCAGTGGGAAGTCAAGACAGGACAATGGGAAGTCAAGACAGGTCATGTCAGGGATGGTGGCAGGGTCACTTACCTCCCACAGGAGGAAAGAGCAGAGCTACTTCTCAGTCAGCCATGGAAGTTAGAGTTTAAAGAAGCCACCAGCCACATGCCCTAGGCAGAGGTACAAGGCGTTCGCTGGGGCCATGTGAGGAGCTGTGTATGCATACACAGGGGACCTTCTCTACATTGTGAGCAAGTTGACCTTCAGGGAATTGGGTCCAGCCATGCCCCCCGCCCCCGCTCCAGCAGACTGCCTGGAAGGCTTATATTTTCCCACTGGGAGAGTCTGGGTAAAGTGAAGTATTGGAAGCCCAGGACCAAGGGGAGTTGAAAATGACTCAAAGGCATTTCCTGGGTCAGGTGAGCTACCCTGAAGTGTCCAGCAGAGTGGTCTTGAAAATCCCATTGGCAACTAATCATTGTCATTCTGCTACACCGAGAAGAAGCCAATGCCAGGTTCCACTCACATATCACAACAGACTGTTCTTTTCTCTGAGCATCTACAGCCCCAGTGATTGAATGGGATTGAGGTGGGATGAGCATCTTCCAGATTTAGAACAGGACAGGTGTGGACAAGGCCACGATTGTTACTAGTGTGAACCCCATACTCTACCGGTTTAAATGAGACTATTGTAACTAAGAGTTCCTGGAAGAGTGACACCTGCCCAGACCTCACGCAGGACAGTGGAGGATGCTGCTTGATGAAGCTACCTGAATAATTCAGCCATTACATTTTTATACCACCTCAGTCTGCTTACATGGATTTTATGGCAAACTCTGAAAGATATATTTATCTGAAAATGAAGCACTTTTAAATTTGAATTGAGGTTACATGGTTTCTTCCTTTTTGTTGAGCTATGATAGACTTCACATAAATGGCACCAAGCATAACTGTGCAACTCAGTGGCCTCTGTAGTTACCAACTCCTCGAAACGCCACTATGGTCAAGATATAGGTCATGTCTAGCCGCCAAGAGGACTCCTCCCTGTCAACTATCTCTTCCTGAGCATTGCTAAGCCCCTGTTAGCTTTACTTGTGTTGTTATTAATACAACATACATTTTAATATATTGAGGATAAACCCTTTTTTTGCCCAGTTGTGTTCATTTCCTCTGGTTTATTTTTTCTTTGAACACTGTTTCTAACCAACACCAAGCATCTAATACAATATATATTTCTAATGCAACACACACACACACACACACACACACACACATTTACCACAAACATATACCCTCTTCCCATTGTATGAGAATGTTTGTGATGGTTAGTACTAAATGGTTAAGTCTGATCCACTTACTTGGACTAATGGGCACACCATTGGGTGTGACTGTGAGGGAACATCCATGGAGGTTTAATTAAGGAGGGAGGAGCAGCGCTGGTTGCAGGTAGCACCACAGCCTGCACTCCTGCCCTGCCTTGGATAAAAAGAGGAAAGGGAGTGGAGAAAAGGCTTTCACTCTGCTTTTCCCTGCTTCCTGACCACCAGCCCAATGGGATGCATCACCTGGCTCTCCTGCCATCATGGAGCTGCCTGCCACAACGCCATTGTCACTTGGTCTGTGAACCATGAGCCAGAATCAACCCCTCCCTCCATACATGGTTTCTGCCAGGTATTCTGTGACCACAGTGAGAAAAGTAACGGGTACTGCTTTACACAACTTTATTCTATAAAAGAGGGGAGGGGCAGAGGGACAGAAAGAGAAAATGGGGGGAGAGAAAGGGAGAGAGAGAGAGAGAGAGAGAGAGAGAGAGAGAACCCAGTCCCTAACAGCTGAGGTAAGTCTCCCATGGGGAGGAATGTCCAGTCTATGTTAACAGGATCTCCTCACTGGGGGTATAGGTAGGTATCCCAGAGATGGGGTGGAGTATGGGATAAAGAATGAACACCCCCCCCCCCCGCGCTGGCATTTACGGGCTATGTGGCTCAGAAAATCTTATTCCCTCCACCACACCCTAGATTTCTTTATCTAGAAAAATTGGGCTAATGTTACTTCTTCCTATGAGCCATGGGATGATTACACAAGGTGGCAGATGTAGCCAGGCTGTTATGGATGGTGGCTCTTGGAGATAGCCTTGTGTGGGCACTGTCTAAACCCTGACCTCAGGTGGTCATAATGCCATCCCTGCACTTGACCCATGAGCTGCTGAATTCTCCGAGGCTATCTGTGACACTATCCTCTTGAACTCTATGAGACCACTAGAAATGTGTCACTTTACCTGGAGTGCCCTGCCCAGTGCCTCCTAGGTGTGTGTGGCTGATTGATATCTAGGGTAGCTAGCATGGTGGAAGCATTGTGGTGTTATCACTTAATTAAAGTGAACTCGATGCAAGTATAAACCAGAGATCTGGCAGGAAACTGAACCCAGCACTGAGATCTGAATTCTTGCAGTCCTGACACTTGGTCTCCACCACTGCCATGGTAGGAAGCTGGGGAGGAGGACCCATCCCTGAGGAGGGAAAAATAAAACCTTTACATAATTCCACTGTTGTACTGAATGAATCACAGGAGAAGATGGCAGCTCCTTCCTCCACAGGAAGGAAAGGGCCAGAGTGCCTCCCTGTGTCTTACAGCTAGAAGTAGGCATGCCACTGAGTGACTCGGGGAAGTGGGTGCTGGTGTGATAGTTCATAAGAAGTTTGCTAAAGGAATGTTTGGGATCACAGGGGCCTGAGATGCAAGCGCGCTCACTTCCTCTCAACTGCTGGTTATTTTGACAGTTGTAGAAGCCTCTTTCTAATTTTTATTTCTTGGCATCACTCTGCAAAACACTGAACTCAGTGTCACATCAGGGCTTGGAGAGTTGAGCTATATCCTTTGTTCTAGATCTGAAAGTGGAGATTGAGCCAGGA